CCCCAGCTGAGGGTCTCGGTGTGTTCCCCCCTCCCCCCCATCCACAGCGGGTGTGACAACTGCAACGAGTGGTTCCATGGGGACTGCATCAACATCACCGAGCGCATGGCCAAGGCCATCCGGGAGTGGTACTGCCGTCAATGCCGCGGTGAGGGGGCTGAGGGGGCCCACCTGGGGCTGTCACTGCTGTCAGTGCCGCGGTGAGGGGGCTGAGGGGGCCACCTGGGGGCTGGCACTGCCACCAGTGCCGCGGTGAGGGGGGTTTGGAGGGGCTGAGAAGCTGGTTGGGGGGGGTCAAAGGGGAAGTTTTGGTTTTGGGGGGGGATGCTGGAGGGTTCCGACCACCTGGGTATGTTTTGGAGGGAGGATCTCCCCATTTTGGGAGGTCTTTGAGCCCAGGGTTGTGGTTGGGGGGTCTGGGCTGAAAGGTTTGAAAGGGGAAATGGCGGTCCCTGACATCGGGGCCCCTCAGTGGGGGGGTGACAGCAGCAGGTAGGGGGGCTGGGGGTGGGTGAGTGAAGGGTCCCCCTGAACCTCCTTCTTCCCCCCTCCCAGAGAAGGACCCGTCCCTGGAGATCCGGTACCGGCACAAGAAGTGGCGGGAGAAGGAGCATGAGGGGGCCAAGGGGCAGGAGCTGGAGCAGGGCCGGGCGGCCAAGGTGGGCTTGGGGGGTCCTGAGGGTGGCCCTGGGGCCAGGCCGCCAAGGTGGAGCCCCAGACTGGGAGGCACCCTGTGATGTGGAGGACGTGGGGGGTGCCCCAATCCCTTAAGGTGCAGATTTAGGGGTTCTCTATATGTGATGTTTTGAGGGATGGACCTCTGAGCCCCTTCCAGGTGCCTGGGTCCCCCCTGGGTGTGATTTGGGGTGTGTGACCCCCCCAGATCAAGCGCTCAGCCCACACATGTGGGGTGTGCGAGGCAAGGGCATCTCTGGGTGTGATTTGGGGTGTGATTTGGGGTGTGATTTGGGGTGTGTGCCCCCCCAGATCAAGCGCTCTGCCCGCATGTGCGGGGAGTGCGAGGCGTGCCGCCGCCCCGAGGACTGCGGGCAGTGCGATTTCTGCCGGGACATGAAGAAGTTCGGGGGCCCCAACAAGATCCGCCAGAAGTGTCGCCTGCGGCAGTGCCAGCTGCGGGCCCGGGTGAGCGGGGCTTGGCGTGGGCCTGGCGTGTGCTTGGTGTGTCCTTTGCATGTTCTTAGCGTGTGTTTGGTATGTTCTTGGCACGACTGAAGCGTGTGCTCAGCGTGACCGTAGTTTGATGCTGATGTGACGTTGGCGTGAGTTCGGCGTGTGTTTGGCGCGGTCACGTGTTTTATGGGGTCAGTGACGTGTGCTGAGCGTGGCCTTGGCGTGGGGTGAGTCCTTCACGTGTTGTCTGTGTGTGCTTGGCATGTGCTTGGTGTGTGCTCAGTGTACGTGGGGTTTGGGGGTCTTGGGGGGGGGGTTGGAGGGGGTTGAGGTGGCCCCAGTGTGTCCCCAGTGTGGTTCTGTGTCCCTGTGTCACCTGCTCCCATGACTCCATGTCACCCTGTCCCGTGTCCCTGACGTGTCCCCAACGTGTCCTGTGTCACCTTATCCCGTGTCCCTGACGTGTTCCCTGTCCCCATGCCACCCTGTCCCGTGTCCCTGACGTGTCCCCAACGTGTTCCTTGTCCTCGTGCCACCCTGTCCCGTGTCCCTGACGTGTCCCCACTATGTCCCCACAGGAGTCCTACAAGTACTTCCCCACCTCGGTGAGTCACCAGGGCCCTGGGACTGAGGGGGGGTCTGGATGGGAGGGGGATGGGCTGGGGGACGGGGGGTTGGGGTGCCCCAAGATCTGGGGTCCCTCTGGGGTGAGAAGGGGGTCTCGTGGGTCCCCAGGGTGGGGGTGGGGTGGGAGGGGCCCCTGGAGTGGGGGTGCCAGTGCCTGGGCAGGTGCTGACCCCCTTTAGCTGGTGTGAGGGGGTGCTGCAGGG